TTGTATTGAATCGCACGGGATTTCTGCCCTGTATTTGATTGCGAAATACAGGGTCAAATTTGGCAATTTTTCCATATGAAAATGTCAAAAATGTGTAGAGTCATAGTAAATATGCATCTTTCACATAGATCAGTGGAAAATATTAATATTTATTTTATGTATTTTTTTTTTCTTTTTTATCATGATGGCAGGGGACATTTCTGAAAAAAATGTCTTTTGGTTCAGTTCTCACCAGTATAAATGAACAAGAATTCCTTAAAAAAAACAGAAACTAGTTGATTAGTTAAATTAGCATAACCAAAAATATCTCACTTTTATTTTTTTTTTGTAACCAACTCAAATAAATAGCAAAACACACAAAACCTATTTGCTCTACCAGTCGTATCACACTCGGTCGTATCATGTATCACAGATCAGGATCTGTGGACTATCCTTCAGGAGCGAGCCTACGGAGCCTCTTCAAAAACATTTCACAGAGTTTCTCATTTAGGTTGCACCTCTTCTTCTCTTTTAGAAAACATTATACTATCTTCTGTTTTTGCAGATGAGCTGCACTGGAGGCCTTTCCTGTAAGCTGAGAAGACACCTTGTGGTGAGAAAGATGCATTAGCTATTGGACAACAAGGTCAAGAGATCAAATGCTGTCAATATCGAGATCCTTATCTTGTTCTCTGTATCCAAACAATGACTGCATATTGTGATTTGTTGTTTTTTTTATCCTAGTGGAATTGAGATTTAACCTGACATATTTTAATCTATGTATTACAGCATAATTGCTACATTGCTTGTTTTAATCAGTAATTTGTCATCAATTGTTTTTGGAATGGCTTGTCTGATGACTGCTGAAATTGGTTCCAGTTGTCCCCGAAATCCTGGAAAGAATTAACTGGCAGACGACAAACGAATGATTGGATGTATGAATAAATCAATGCAAAAAATCAAACTTGCAAACACTAGTGATGGTGGTAGTAGATATTCCGAAATGAAGTAAAGTATGTAGGGGCAGTGTAGTACAGCCTGGTACTAGTTGATTAATACTTTAATTTTACTTGATTTAAATAAGGTCTGGTCATTTCTCCCGTTCTTGAATAATAACAAATTTATGTCTAAAAATGTTAGCCTTTGTAAACAGTGTCGCAACTACTATTCGTAGAACCGGCTAATACTGGCCAACCGACTCGTAAAACATAAAAAAGGTTGGAGACCCCTCCTTTACCTCAGACAGGTCAGGAGCAGATAGATGGGGCTAAAAGATAAAATACATATACAAATACAGAGTTAATACAAGGCTAAAATGCTCATCATTTTCTACGCCATCTATTGGTGAAACGTGGGTATTTCAGGGAAAAAGGCAGAAGTATAATGATAATATAAATACATTATATAATTTGGAAAAGTTTAGCGGGTCGGATTAAAAAGCTAACCGGGCCGCATCTGGCCCCCGGGCCTTAGTTTGCCCGTAAATTCTCAGATGATAAAACTGGCTGCTGGCTAGAAACCGTAAACCAAACATCCACCAGTGTCAACATTGCACCTGAGTTGTTAAAATATGGGGGTGATTGAACACGATCTTCTTCGTCAGCACAGCTTGAGGAGAAACGCACAGAACGTAACCAAATTGTTCCATTTCATAATGCATGTGCTGCAGGAGCTTGTTATTTCTTTAAGCAATATTGCAAGGCTTTCATAACGACATACGCGCAACTATCCAATTCAACTGGGCTAGCTGCCGATCATTTGCAAATTTGCGCTTGCCCCCGGCGGAGAGAGCTGTCGCTGTCGAAACTTTCACATCAAACCCGCGATGGCAGGCATGTGGCTGTTTCCCCAAAGTTGAGTTTATCGTTTGTTCGAAACCTTCCGTCATTAGCCTCCATCTTCATCGCTAACTTTTCGGTAAAGCCGAGCAGTACCAGAGCGCAGTCACAAACAATACAAGTACACGATTTTAATAGGAATTGATCTCTGACTAAATCGTCTTAATTAATTCATGTATAATACCTGTTGTAGTCTCGACTAGCGGTTTTCGACATGGGAGGCGCACCTCCCCTGGGGGGCGCCAAAGAGTCACATGAATCTGCGCGTATGAAGTGAAAATATTCGCTGTCGTAAATAATCGTTTGTGAACGACCTTTTTTGAAAAAAGTTGCGAAAATAAAATGTTTTTCAAATACATTCAATCCACGTCAGGACACATGGATTGACATTCATGACTTGAACTGTGGATAACGATATGCAAGGCCTAAACCCACGAATCTCTATGTAAGCATACGACTGCTAAACACTGCGACGTGCGTCAACTGCTCCAGTATCTTACAATATTTTATTTTTAATAATATTTTTAATAATATTTAATAATAATAATAATAATAATAATAATAATAATAATATTTTAAATAATTTTATTTCTCATTTTCTGATAGAGGTACTTGCTCGAGATGATTCTGCAGAATTGATATACTTATTTTATTTAATCATTTCTGGCACGACACCGATTCGTCCAACCTGTAGAAGTTCTCAGATGGCAATGCGGTGGTGGAATGTATGAAGGATGGACGGGGATGGTCTGCGGGAGAGGTGTAAGAGGAACCATCTGGTTGTGACTGTGAGCGGAACTTCTAAGCTGCAACATCAATTGCAAAACGTTCCCTGCCCTTGTAAGGAACTGCTTGCTGGTTTGCTGCCCCGATTAGGGGCATTTCCACCACATGACTTGGCTCTGTGTCAGCCAGGAAAGTCTTGGGCATAAAACTGCCTTTGCTTATGTTATCTGCTTGCTTGGCGGTTAAGGAAGCAGACTTGGGTGAGGAAGGTTTTCAGATTTGAGTCCACCAGCTGCCAAGTTGTCACTGAGGTATACTCAAGCATGGCACTGCTCCTCGGGCAATCGAGCTGCCCTGGGCTCACAATAGTCCATCCATCCATCCATCCATTATCATTCGCTTATCCGTTACCGGGTCGCGGGGGCAGCAGTCTCCACGACCGCCACCCAAATCACATTGCACCGTACCAACCCCCCAGACCTTCCTGCAGGTGGTGAGTCCACTGGAAGGTATTAACCGCCCTAATCGGGATTCGATCTTGCCCAGGAGGTGAACCCTGGGGGTTCCACACCAATGACAGAAACATTGCCTCTGGGCCAAAGCGCCACTGCTCACAATAGTGATGGGTTAAAAGCATTGTCATTCATTTAAATTTTTGTTGACGGTTGTTTCCAGTTTTAGGAATACATTAGCATTAGCATTAGCGTTTCTCACGTGCCGCTGAAAAGCGGGGGACATTATGCGTTTGAACTCAACCTTTTCACCGACCTGTGATTCAGTTTTTTTTTTTAGTTCACCCATCCCATCACATACTGTTATGTCCCTGCAAAAAAAAACAAAAAAAAAAAAACAGTCTCTCAACTTTCTGAGGCAAGTATCACGTGAGATCTGCCAGTGGGATGACACAGTACGAGGGCAGTGGCGGATGTGCCTGTCTGTACGGCGCTTCTGCTCGCTTTGCCAGCATCGCTTTGCTGCACACATCCTGTTTCCTGCGCCCACATTACTGAACAAGAGAGTTGACAGTGTCATCAGGTGGTATTTGTCGTAGCTGTCTCGCTAGCCAAACCGTCGCAGTGTGTACACCGTCAACTGTGTGATTCAGACTGCGGTTAACACATTCTAAGATTGATGTCTGTCTGTGCCGTGAGTGACTGTAAAATTTGGATACAAAAATAATTCAGTGAAAATACGGTAATTTCAAGGAGTATTTTTCATCAAAGAAATTGAAAAACGCGGTTGGAGCGGTTGTGAAGCAGTGATACGTTTGTTGTTAAATTTCAGTGGGTTTTTTTTTTTTTTTACATTGGTATTAGTCTGGAAGCAGGAAACTCCTCAAGCTCGCACATACACCTACCTGAAAGGCCTTTCGGCTTTCCCGGGTACACACATTTACATCGCAGCCTCTCAGTCACACACATTCAAAGAGAATTTCTCCCAAATTTTGTTGACACCAACTTTCCAAATCCTTCCCCAGATGATTCCCTAAACTCCCTGGGAACAATGGAAAACTCCCATTTGTGCGAAACACCTCACAAACATTTCCAAAACTGCTTTCTTGAATACGTCTCCGGTCGCTTATTTTGCTCGACCTGATCGGACCCGTTTGTATTATATGTGTTCTGGTCGGTTCCATAGTGTAGCGGTTAGCAGAGCAGCGAGTCCTGGCTTCCCAGAGGAAACACATGCTAGGCGCCTGTTAGCAAAAACTGCCGTTAACACCAGAATTCCCCAAATATGGGATGAATAAAGTTCAAATAGTTATTCATTGATTATCATACAAATGATGCGATGCGAGCTACCGGCCGTTTTCATTCCTTGCCTAAGACTTCCTCCGAAGTCGAGTCTTTCAGTGGCTTCCACCTACTGGATTGGATTCCCGAACCCTAATAGATGGGTTCACAACAGGAAGATAAGACTATTTTCAATCCCACGCCAGGGAACTTCACTTGTTACAGCAGCAGGATAGACAAAATAAAATAATATTATTATCATAATAAAAGGATAATAAAAGGATATGCAGCATAAAAACTGTGGTGACTCGACGACATCAAATTCACCGTTTCTATCTTTGATCTGTCTGTATACAAATCTCGCAGAACAATGTGCAGCTTCATGCACCCAGTGCAGTAGCCATAGAAACCTCGCTGGAGCCGCAACAACGGAAGCTTTGTCCTGATAGGCCGCTTTGCTGCACCAAACCAGGACTGGTCTGTGTTTTTTTTTTTTTTTTTTTTCTCACTCCCTTTTTTGTGTTCTTCAAACATTCAAAAAGGCAAACTTTTTTTTTTTCCCAGGGTGCACAGTGTCCCTGCATGGCTGTGGTGTTTACAGGATGTTATCTCTGTGAGTGCCGGCCCCCAGTGTCTCTGAGTGGGTTCGCTGTAGGAATGTTGGAAGAGGGATGGAGAAGTTCCAAAGGAGGAGTGACGAGAGAAAGAGTGAGACAGACACAAGTAAAAGGGTAGCTAGACAGGGAGAGGGAGAGAGAGAGAAAGAGAGTGAGAGGGAGAGAGAGAGAGAGTCTATATATACATCCTAAAGAGACTTGTGCTCAAAACACAGCAGGACTACTAGATATCTGGACCCAGGGACATTAGATATTTAAAGGTGAGTTTTCTTTTTTTTTATTATTATTTTTTTATTATTATTATTATTTCACATCCCCACCAATAGGTTTTACTGCTACAATATCATATTTTAAAAGCCAAAAAAAGAAAAGGAAGAAAGACAGAAAGACAGAAAGACAGAGAGAGAGGAAGGAAGGAAGGAAGGAAGAAAGAAAGAAAGAAAGAAAGAAAGAAAGAAAGAAAGAAAGAAAGAAAGAAAGAAAGAAAGAAAGAAAGAAAGAAAGAAAGAAAGAAAGAAAGAAAGAAAGAAAGAAAGAAAGAAAGAAAGAAAGGAAGAAGAGATAAAGAAAGAAAGAAAAACTTAGTAAATAGCCTAGATATGAATTATTTTATCTTTTTTTTTTCTTTACAACGGAATGAAATTGAAATTATGAATGTGACTGAATCTGTTATGTCCATCAGCCGGGTCACATGAAAATGTGTAGAAAATTGTTGTTAAAAAAAACCACTTAAAAGCATGTGACAGAAGGGAATAAATCGAATTAGCCTATTGAAAGACCGGAAAAATGACACCACTGATCTCTTTACTGCAGCAATCACTGGTTAAGGCCCTCATTCAGTGATTTGTTTCCATTATCGAACTTAACATTCATATATTTAAAAAAAAAAAAAAAAAAAAAAAAAGCTGTGTAGTGGTGTGTTCTCTGGTTTCAATTATCTCCAGGCTGTAGTGCGAAGAAAAGTGTGGTTGCATTATTGGACAAGTGCAGTGGTGGGGGGGGTTTCTGCTTTCTGTCTTGTTGGGTGTGCCTTTTTTTTTTCCTGAATTGGTTATGGACTCAGGGGAACACTAACATGTGTTAGGTCATCTTTCCCTTAGTCTTTCTGATGAAAATCTAAACCCATTAACGGTTTAAATCCCCTCCCTTTCTCCCAGTCTTGCAAACATCTGTGTTTGTCTTTGGACTGAGCTTTTGTATGAGTAATGTGATTGGAAATGGGCTCCCAAAGGGCCATTGCTGCACTGTTACACAACACACACACACCAAAATGCATCAGTAAATATATCGGCTCTACGTTTGATATTTTTCCTCCTGCATTTCCATATTTGTAAGTCACTTGTTTGTTCAGTTCCATGAGCTTTCTTTTTTAACGCCATCGAGGCCTTATAAAAACAAGTCCCCTGTCATTAACCAGGACTTTGAGGGCGAGGCATGCAACTTGATGCCTACATGTGCTGACATGTCCTGTCCTTTGGCTCATTCTAGGACAATATTTGTCTAAAGAATGCCCTGTAGAGGAAAAAAAAAAATACCTCAGCTGATCGGCTGATTTAATTCACTACGCCAAATCAAACAATGAAGCAGAAGGGGAAAAAAAGTCATTATTTCAAATGCCAACAATATGAGCCTCTCAAGGTTGTGTCCTGTTTCTTTTTCAGACACCAGTACTGTGGCTGTGGAAAACTTATTAGATTAGCGGGTGTGAAATACTGAACTCAAAGATGAATACTGTGGCAGACTGGCTAGTGCAGAACAGAGACAAGATTGAAAAGGGGGTGGAGATCATGGGCCAAGCATCCGAGGTGCTAGCTGCCACCGTGGGCCAGCTTCACCCCGTACTGGAAGCTGTGTTCGTGGCTTCGGCGGAGCTACTCAACAATCCGGATGGCAAAGAGGCCCGCTATCTGACTCAGCAGTTTGAACTCGTTCACCAACAACTTGAGGGAATCCAAAATGAGATCGATCAAATAGCCCTGGAGCTCCAGAAATCCTCAATGAACAAGCAGAACTTTGACCGCGAAGCGCAGATGCTCAGTCAGTACGACAAATTTCAGGACTTCGTCAACGCCAAACCAAAGTTCCGGGAGAAGAAGAAGGAGAAGTTCCTGAGCCATTACGAGAACACGGATGGAGACTTGAACTTGGACGCTCTCTACAATGCCGTCACGGGGGAGAACATCGCCGGTGACCCTTTGCTCGAGGTTGTAGTCGCCACAGAGCAGAGAAGCCGACGGGCGGTTGAGGACTTCTGCGCCAGGCTGAAAAAGCTCTTCGTAGTGGGCATTATCGCTGTCATGGGCCATGCCGCCCTCAAGGAAGGTGAAGTCGACGAGGACATGGTGAGGAAATGGCAGAGCCGAATGGAGGATGTAGAAAAACGGATGAAAGCAGCCGTGGATGACTGTACAGAGAACTTTGCTGAACAAGCCAAGATGGACATGGAGAATCTGCTTCAGGATAACCCGGGTACCGTTGACCGCGACTTTACTACATCCCTTCTGGATGCCCTCGTGAAGAAATATGACTGGGTGAATTGGTCTATAAGGGCCTTCAGCGACCGCGAGCGCATTTTCTTTTTCAATTGGCTTGCAGGGAAGAAGTACCAAGGAAGAGGGGGCGCCAAATGGTTTGAGATTTTGACCAACAAAAAAATCAAAGTGGTGGTCTCATTTTGCGTCAACCCGAAGCCAATTGACAAGAGTCAGGTCCAAGAGCAGATCGAAGTGCAGAGGCTGAGGGGAAACATGATGGCGGTGGCACTGGCCCTGAACAAGAGCTTTCCCAACTGCCTTGTTCACGCTGTCAGCCACTATAAGGAAGTGGTGGAATCCAACAATTTTAGTGAAGATTGTTACTACTACGGAAAACATAAGCGGGCCTACCTGTGTATCCACCCCGAGTAAATTCTTAATAAAACAGACCAAACCAACTGTTGTTGCATATACAAGGAGATAATTAATTGAATGTGTCCGGCTGGAAAAAAAACAAACCCAAACAAATTCATTATGTTTGTCTCTGTTGATGTATAACCTGATTTGCTAATGCCTGCCATTGTATATGAATTTGTAATCTTACTTTAAGTTCTGTACATGATTTTATATGTGTTGTGATTTAATATATATATATATATATATATATATATATATATATATATAATATGAGTTTCAGCTGGTTTGACAAAACGTTAGATCCATGAACCTCAATGCAATCTTAGACTTGGATGTAAGGCTGCCTTCTGAGAATGTTGTTCTCTTCAACTCAATTCCCGTAGGTCTCTGCTGAACTCGGAATCTTCGTTTGGACATTTTCACAACAAAAAGCAAAACAAAAAAAACAAAAACAAAAAAAAAATAACACTATGGTACTGCGGGGAGAATCAGTTTCAAAATCTGTAAAGTCTACAATCTCATTAAGACACTTGTAAATTGTATCTTGATTTGTGATATAAAAAAGAAAGAAAGAAAAAAAAACCTATGTTTTTGAATCTTTATTATGTGATTATCATAAGTAGCAGAAATAACGGTGGTTGTATTAGTAGGAGTAGTAGAACAAGTAGTTTAAAGAACATTTTTATTTAGCAGAAGTGTTGCGAGTTAGTGCATTTCGCACCACGATATTCTCGCTGTGATAAAAACGTCATTGTTTGTCAAAGGAGGAGGTTACTCTGTAATAATAACAACGCCTCGGCCTCAACCGATCACACTCACACATCCTGTACACACCACGCGTGTGTTTGACAGAGAGGGAACCGTGTATATAGCCCTTTTTTTTTATTTCTCCACGGATAAATACTGTCATTGTCCATAGCATACACACAGTATAGTCCTCTTTGGACATAAACTTGCTTCTACGTCTATGCATAACTGTGACCTCAAGACTGGTGTTAGACTGGGACAAGGCTAGGCTAATGCTAAAGTATTACCGGTTATTCAAATTGAAGCAAATAAATATCACAGGAATAGCTGTCCACACGTTCGTGTGTATGACACGAAGGAGGAAAAAAGAGGGAGGGAGGGAAAGAGGGAGGGAAGAAGAGAAGGAGGGAGTCCAAAGGTAAAAAAATACAGGCCCATGTGATGAACTGTAGACCCAGCATCAACATCTTAAATGTGTTATCATCTGGAACATGGCTGTCATTGTTCAGAGGGAGAAAACAATGACAAAGTATTTCATTAGTTTCTCTATTAAAAACATTTCTCCTAATTAGGGCACTCCCGTCCTTATTATTATTACACAATCGATCGAGTTCTTCGGTAAATGCCATATGTCCCGTTAAGTATTCTTTAATATATTTAGACAAACAATAAAAAAAATGTTATTTTCTATTTAGGTATGTTTCTGTGACGTCGGTTGCCAACCCTGGTGTCACTATTATAAACGCAAAAGCTTCACTGTTTTCCCGGAAGCGTCAAACTTTTACAGACGTCACCACTCACACTTGAGCTGAATTTGTAACAAAAACCGCATGTGTGGTAAGACACTATGTTTATTAGGCTTTTCCCACGGCTGAATAACTAATACAATTAGAACTCTGGTGTCCAGTGGGATCAATACGTTTCCCATTAGGAGGATGCTTTTTACAGTGTTAGAGTTCCTTTCTGTGTGGGGGAGGGTGACACTGCGGTTGGTCACATTCGTTGGAAGTAAGCTTTCACATTTGGTTCTTGCATATAAAAAATAATTTGAATATTTCGGAAGTAAGCTTTCACATTTGGTTCTTGTATATAAAAAAATAATTTGAATATTTCTATTCCGTTTTTGGAGCCAGGTTGTGGCCGTTGTGAGTGGACAGAGTATGGCTGTTAGATAGCACTAACGTCTGGACCGCGGGCATTTGATGGTTAACATGGCGCTGAGGGGGTAAAGAAGAAGCAGGACTCTTTAGGAATGTAGTTCACTTTGCATTTTTGAAAGCTCGTGTCGCATTTTTATAGACCGTTTGTCATTACTACGATAGCTGAATTGTTGTTGTTCCTTTTACTAACAAAACTGAGATAATCAAAAGAACAACATAACAGGGATACTTGTAAAATGGCCCATAACATGTAATACAAAGAAGTCCTTTTTTTTTTTTAAAGAAAAGTATATAAAAATATCACTCACATTAACTCAAATGACATGGGACACATGCTGCTCTTTGTGTGTGTGTATATATATATATATATATATAAGAACGTGACATTTAAAAACCACTCTCTGTTTAAATTGAATCTGTATAAGTGCAATAAAAACACCTTTACGGAGAAAGGGTATCCATGACAACCAGAGAGCCCATTTTAGGAACAGAGGACTGATATATAATTCTATATATCGACCTTTTAAATAGTAATAATAAAATAATTCTACACCAATTTGTAAAATTATTGACTAGTTAACATGTAATTACAATTATCAATTAAAAGATGATTTTAACTGATAATAAATAAAAAAAAATCAGATCAATGTATTTCCATTTGACAGAACTTTCCAAAGTACTATATATATATATGTATATATATATATATATATATGAAGGTTGGTTTCATTGCAGTTTATGTTTAAAAAAAGCTTCTATTTCTGTCAATAGATTGTATAAAAAAAAAATATTGTGACGTTTTCTTTTCCTCTATTGTCCAGCCCTACCTGTCAGCATCTGTACAGAGACAGAGCAGAAAGAAGCAACAAACCGACCCATTATTTACTATTGGCTTTGTTGCCATGGAAACCACCAAGTTTCTGAAAAACACCACTTCCTGTCATGTGGAATCTCCCCCCACTTAGTTACTGACCAGGGACTGCTGCCTCAGGATTTACTGGTCTGGCTTTAGGACGTAAAATCAACTCTGAGTTTGTTTTCACAGAAAAAAAAAAACGCAATTCTGCCTTTTCATGCGGGCATGTCTCAACTTGTCCGTAATTAAAAAAAAAAAAAACAGGTACACACAGTCACAGTTATTCCGCTCCTGCTGGCTTGTGGGAGTAGTTGTTAATATTTGACAAGGATTTTTCAAGCCAAGTGGACTTCAGGTTATTAACGTGACAGGGCATTTAATCTATTTTAGTTGTCAGCACTAGTGTGGCCTCGACCTTTTTTATTAGATGTTTACTTCTCGAAACTGCTGGTTTTGGGTTGCTTTGAATGGCCTAAGGTCACTTTTCAGTTGTTTCTGGAAACGAAGACTTTTGCTTACATTGTTTATTTTGTTTGCTTAGCTGGCCATCAATAACGATTAAATATAATACAACTCTGGACGGAAGGAAGAAGAAATGAAAGTCCTCAACCAAAAGTTGGACCTGTGTGAAAAATGTTCAAATCTCTGGCTCCTGGAGATGAAAAAGACAAACTTTACACAACATGTTTTTGTAAATAATATTGTCCATATGGCCATAAACATTTCCATTTGTCCACTTAGTTTGGTGTTTTACTGTTAGTTGCTTATTGGGGATGAAATATGTAGCTTAAACGAACCTTTAAAACCATGGGTCAGAAGGGGTTAATGTGCCAGAAGATTTCCGGCATACCTGAGGAAATAACTACAAGCGTTTTTGTTGGTTTTTTTTTGTTGTTTTTTTTTTACACCGAAGGAGATAACTACACGCGTTTTTTTTTTTTTTTTTTTTAATTATTATTATTATACTGAGATTTTAAAAAGAACAACTAAAGATACATGCTTTTAGTCCAAAATGTAGATGTTCAATTTGGAGGTAAAAAAAAAAAAAAAATCTAAAATGAACTGTGTATTTCAAAATGACTTTAGCCTGTTTCTCACTGCTTTCCTCCATTTGCATTGTTAACTTATTGCTCACACTGGGTGTGACTGAAAGCCAGTGCCGAAGCTCACTTGACTGCTTCTGTCTGTTTTTCTCAGTTTAAGCTGTGTGGTAAGAGGAACAGGAGAAGGAGAAGGCTACAGTTCAACAGAAAAAGACAGAACCAGAATTGTAAGTAAATCTACCAAAAACAATTCCTTGTCCGGATCACCACTACATGTTTTACTTTCAGAAAAGGAAAACGTTTTTTTAAGCTTGTTGAGCATACTGCTACACAAACTGCGAACATTGTTGTAACAATACGTTTCTACTTAATCACAGTAATATATGCCATCTACGCTATAATATGAAGTGGCTTATGTTGTCTGTTACTAAGTACAACTGCCCAACATGAAAATAAAAAAGTTAATTTTTATGACTTTAGCCTGTTGTTAAATGGCTAAATTATTGTTTTGTTATGTCCCTCCTAGCAGCATTCTTATCAGAGAGAGTTTCTGATTCTTTATTTATTTGTTAGAACCAGCGAAGATGGCCGACAAGCTACAGAAGCTCGTGGCAGACAAGAAGGACACGGTTGAGACAGTGATGGAAATGTTTGAAAAAGGCGCAGAGGTAGTGGCCAGTATTGCCGGTGACCTCTTCCCAGTTTTCTCCATTGCCGCACCACTGGTCAAACTGGCTCTCGACAATGTGGAGAGCAAAGAGGCCGCGTTCATGAAAGAGCAGTTCCAGAAAGTGCGGGAGCGCCTCGAGGTTGTTTCCGAGGAGATGCAGAGGATTAACGAGGAGATCAAAAAGAGTGGAATGGATGCCACATATTTCCCAATAGAAGAGAACATCACCAACCAATTCAGAAAGTACATGGACATCCTGAACGCCAAACCCAAGTTCAGAGAGGTCAAGAAGAAGCTCTTCCTTGATCATTTTGCCAAAACGGGGGGGGACAAAAACCTCAACACTTTGTACAACGTTGTCACGGGTAATAGCTTCTCTGGGGAGTCTGTGCTGGAGATCACGCTGAACTACGAGGAGAAGAGTCGGCGTCCTTTGGAGGACTTCTGTGCTAGGCTAAAGAAGCTTTTTTGCATTGGGCTAATAGCACTGTTGGGCCACGCCGCTCTCAAGGGATACGACGAGGAGGACATTCTTCTGAAAGACTGGTCGGAGAAAATGCAAAACGTCCAGTCCAAAATCAATGCTGTGATCGAAGACTGCATTGTCAGTTTTCCCAAACAGGCTGAGCAAGATTGCCGTCGCCTGGTGAGAGACCAATCGGGAGCAACAAGCCAGCAGCTAGCTGATGCTTTGATCGAGCACCTAAAAAAGAAGTATGACTGGGTGTTCTGGTCTGTGCGTGTATTCAGGTCACCTATGGGCCTGTTTGCCAACAAAAAGGATTTCCACTGCCCAACAGGGAAGACTCGCTTCCAGGTTCCGACATCGGAGGAGAAGCTGAACGTCTGGGTGTCCTACAGCTCCTCGCCCGAGCCAGTGGACAAGGATTGTATCCAGCACCTGATCCAGAGTCAGAAGAAACACACTGTGGTGGGGCTATCAGAGCTCTTGTTTGAGAAGATTCCAGGTGACCACGTGGTCCACACAGTAAAAACCAACAAAGATCTGGCCTGTGCTTGGAGCTTCAGCAACGAGCTCCACTACTGGGATGAATACAAAAACATCTTTATTTGCGTTCACTCCGCTTAAATACCAAACAACTCTCAATCATTTATATCAATTTGCCAAGTCTATTAAGTGCCTTCACCTGTAATCCTGCCACACACACATATATATATATATTTATATAAATATATATTTTCTCAATAATTATAATTTCATTTAAAAAAAGGGTGTCTTAAAAACAAAACACAAGTCTTTCCCACTGATTAATGAGAATGTAGCTGTTTAGCTTGAGTTGTTGAGCAGTGACTTGGACCCCGTTCAAGGCATGTAGTGAAACATAGAGCAAGAGAAAATGGCTCCAGGCCATCAACAGCAGAAGCACGTCTCTTACGTAATGTATTGTGAAGGGTGTTTGGTGTATGAAAGTGACTGGTTAATGGCACTGGTTGCTTTGTGCCCCCTTCAGAACTTGATACATGTCAATATCAGTATAAAAGCCTTTACACATAACTATAGAAATTGGTGTGACAGAATTTTTTTTTTAAGAATGACAAAGTGTCTAGTGTACAACAGTAACAAAACAAAGCCAGGAACATAGACAGGCTCACTGTGCGTTTTGAAATAAACACTCTATATGTTGGTTCCCTTTCGTTTTATTCTATTTCGTGTGACCTTGTCAGAGAATGTTTTTCGATACAGTAGTGCTTTGTATTGCTTTATTGTTGCCTGTTATTATTCATTTCATTATGTCTAATGCATTTTATCAGGACTGTCAATTGATTTTAAAATTTTGATCGGGTTAATCGTAGGAGGGCTATGGGGTAGTCGTGATTAATTAGGATTGTAAGTTTGGATTAATCGTGGTAAATGTTCATTTTATAATTCTGACCTTTTCTGTAATTTTTTTTCTGTATGTTGCTGGAACAGAAAGACAAATAAGAGCAGGTGCAGTAGATGTACGTGTTTCACAATTTTTTTTATCTTTGACTAATCCAAATGTTGGAATCATAAAATCCTACCAAAAATATGCAATGTCTGTTTACATTTTTTTCATAATGGTTGATGGAGTTTTTAAAATTTTTAATCAGATTAATATACAGGATTATTATGTAAATTTTGACAAATCTACATTTTATAAATTTCACCAGTTATATTTCAACAGTAGATGTAACGTAAGGTGTCATTTAAAAAAAATCTTTAGAATAAACTATTTTATGTGGTTTGTTATTATTTTTTTATAAATGTTTTACAGATGCTCTGTTTTTCCCACAAATCTTTAAATGGACATTTATTGTTGTTTCTATGTTATTTGGGTGAATTACTATGTATAAAACATCACTAAGAATCAATAAAAATGGCATATGTTTTAACTGATCTTTACATTCATTTTAACTGGGACTGCCTGACCACAACATACATAAATGAGTGTCGGCGTATACTGTATACTGTTATTTGATTCAGCAGATATATTCTCAGAATTAGCTCAGAAATTCATGAATTTTTGCATTTGGCACTTGTCAACATAAAGATCAAAACAAAATGAATAATAAGTAAAGAAGTCAAAGACCCACTGTAAAAACAAAATTCAGAAATGACTAATTAATCACAATTGTAATTTATCATAGGTAATTAAGGGGATTTGTAATTATGACATGGCTGAAACAGAGACAAATAGCAGCAAGTAGATGTACGTGTTTCATACCGTTCATTAGTGACTAATCCAAAGAATGGAATAATATGGAAAATTTCAAGAAAATTATGCAAAACTATATCTCAAATCCTACCAAAAGTATGTTAATATGGAAAATTTCAAGACAATTATGCAAAATTATATCTCAAATCCTACCAAAAGTATGTAATAACTATGTCTATAAGCTGCAGGTGTCCACTTTGTAACATGGGATATTTACACAGAAAAATATTACACAGAAAGATTGCTCCAGGTCTGAAGCTAACATTAGCTCTGAAGCCAACGTTAGCTCTGAGGCTAACTCCCTTCACTTTGTTCTTGTCCGCAGCAGAGGTAAACAGAAACAGGGAAGTTTCTGGAAGTCTTTATTATCAGCCACGCCGAGCACAACAGAACATAAACAGCGTTTTAACAGCTCCTGTATAACCAACTCACGCTTCAACACGACGGGGCTCAAACTGCTCTCAACTTTCGCTACCGTTCTCTCTCTCTCGCACACCCCACACACATATACGCATACAGCCATTCACAGACAGACATACTCTACTAGTGTAACACGCAGTAGCCTACCAGAAAAGGCATTAGTCGCTTCGCACACCCCACACCCATATACGCATACAGCCATTGACAGACAGACATACACGGTACTAGTGTAACACACATTAGCCTTCCGGAAAAGGCATTAGTCGCTAGCGGTATGAGCTTCGTTAGCCCGTAAAAATCCATAAATTAGCCACATCATTGTTTAAGCAGCATGTGAAAAAAGAAGCGACTTATAATCTGACATTTACAGTACTTACGGTAAACCATCTTAATAATAATAATTAATCTCACTGCATTTTATGAATCCACATTTGTTTATCGATTCACTGCTCCTTTATCAATGACATTTATTCAGTCACTTTTGATAGAATTTCACCACAAACTACAAATCCAAATCCTGACAAAATATCTGGGAAAACAATATAAAAAAGATCATCTGTACTCTTAGACTCAAAGAAAAAAACAAAAACAAAACAGTACTAACTGCTATGAAGATGAATTTCAGCTTGTAGAAAAGAGAGCAATAAATAGAATGTAGTGGTCTGTTCGGAAACACCCAGTGTGCGCTGTCATTTTGTGGTTGTGGCCTTTCTATCTTTGACATATAACGACACATTTGCAGGCACACAAGTGACAAGAGTTTAAGAGACTTGAAAGCTAGAAGATGCAGATAAAAAAATGAAACAGGTACATTTACATTTTCCTGTTGTTGTTAGCATCGCTAGCATCTGTTAGCAAGTGGCATTTTTAAAAAAGTGTGACGTGTGGCTTTAAGCCTGAAACCAGTAGCATGTTGCAGTGTTTACCAAAACCCATGATTACTACATAAGACTACTACGTTTTGTTTTGTTTTTTCCAATCATTATTCAATCTCCTATTTCTACATGTGACAGGTTCACGTTGTCACTGTAAGAGTTAGCTAGAGAGCTAAATGACGACAGAGACGTGGCTTAGCCTCACCTAGTCCTCCTCAGTAATGGATACCAGCGTCACAGTGCCGCCTACTGTCAGGAATGTGAAAACTGCATATACGGCCTATGACGTTCAGAAAACACTCGACTGGTTAATATTATATATATATATATATGTATCTGAATGTGTTACTACATTAAAAAAATTGAAATGTGACAGAAAGAAAGAAGAAGAAAAAAATATTGAACACTACAATGTATTTTCTAAGGATGATTGTAATGGTGCGAAATCTTTTTGAAATGACAGAAAGAAAGAAGAAAAAAAAAATTGAACACTACAATGTATTTTGTAAGGATGATTGTAATGGTGCGAAATCTCCTCCACAGCACTTTTGTCTGTGTGGGTAAAAGAAGTTGTTGACACAAAACAGCAAAGTGATGGAAGTAACCGGACCAGAATTACTACTTCGTGATTATGATTTTGCCACACAGTCCTGCACTGAGTACGGCCCATCAGGTGACCTGAAAAACGCAGAAAACGCATCACGAGGCGACGAATGTTTTTTTCCTCGTCCCACAGGAGCCTATTGTCCCTTCGGTTCGACTCGAAAACCTGACATTGATTTGTCTGTTGAAAATGACATTTTGTAAGAAAATCATCAGATGGCGATGCATATCGGACATTGGGTTAGGAAGGTGTATTAGCATGTACAAAGGTAATTACCCTTTGTTTTTCAAAGTTGATAAAACAGCTGTCGTCTAAGCCTAAATGTGCCTGACATTTAATCTACATTGAAGAATGTCTATATATTATCAAATACGTATGTAAACATTAAAATCATTGCAAAAACGATTGACAATTTGAACATTTTATTATTGCTTTAATAAGGAAAAGCTTTTAATTTATCAGGTTAAGAAACACTGCTGCATGGACTTTATTAAATGCTGTATAAGCTCCAGAGGACCATTAAAAATGACTCTGCGGGCCGAATTTGGCCCCCAGGCCTTGAGTTTGACACATGTGCTGTATGGCAGAGTTTTTCCACCCAAAGCACTTCCTAACTATCCTGCCACTCGGCTATATCCTGCAACAGGCTGCAGTACGTCCCTTCAACACAATCGCTATATAAAACTGACAGAAAACTCTCATGGACCTTTAAATATAAATGGTTCTACCCCTTGAACAGTCCAATTGTTGTGCAGAAACTAAACTTCCACTGTCTGTCTAAGAAGAAGCTTTATTTTCATTGTACAGGATACAACTAATAGTAGTTGTAGTAGCAGCAGCTGTATTCATAAGAATATTTAAAATATTTAAAAAAGGCCAGCAAAATAAAGCGCAGCGTAAGCTAACTATGATAAGCTAACTATGCTTGTCTGGCAACATCTCTCAATAATAATAGTAGTAGTAGTAGCAGTATTCATAAGAATATTTAGGCCAGCAAAATAAATTGCAGCACAAGCTAACTATGATAAGCTAACTATGCTAACTACGATGTTGATTGTATTTTAGTGCTCTTTTAGTGCAATGTCTGGGCCCAAATATCAGTGAAAACATACACACATACGTGTTTTGTTTCTAAGGAATTGTAGTAGAAATGATTAATCTTTGTAGTGCATATGTGTCAAACTCAAGGCCTGGGGCCCAAATTCGGCCCACCAAGGCATTTTGTATGGACCATGGGAACTTAAAAAGCAATTTAATAAAGTCCATGCAGCAGAGTTTTTGGTTCCAACTTTATACCTTAACCTGACTTAGCCTATAGGCATGGGCAGACTACGGCCCGGGTGCAGGATGTGGCCCGTTTGGCTTTTTAATCCGGCTCACCAAACTTGTCTAAATTGTGTTATTAATTTTTATTTTCATCATATTTCTCTGCCTTTCCCCTACAATGCCCGCATTTCCCCAATAGATGGCATAGAAAAGGCTAAAAGCATTTTAGCCTTTACTAACTGACTTTTACATGTCATTCGTTTTAGTTTAGTTACGAACGCTCCATCTATCTGCTCCTGACCCGGGGCCCCAATTTTAGGGCCCATAGTGGCCCGCGAATCAAAACGTTTGCCCACGCCTGACCTTAGCCTAAATCCAATTCTAACAATTCTAATAATAATGTTGCTGAAGGAATTGCAGCTTTAACGCGGTTACTGTTATCCTGTGTCCTTGCTCTGCACATACCACAACGCAACAAGACTCAACAAGCTAAAGGGGGCAAAGCAGTGCATTGTCAAAAAAAAAATGTCACAGCTGTGGAGACAAGTAGTCATAGGGATAAGAGTAAGTAATATGTGGCACATCTCACTATAACTGATAAATAATGTATTCCTTTATTTATTTAATTCTCGAATCAATCATCGGGTGTTACCGAAACACGCATTGATGCAGCGTTGTGCACTTGGTCCCTTACGTGGTTATCGCAAATTTGGAACCCACTTGTAGTGATGACCTTTTCATGACACAAAGATCACAGATGGGCTAGTGCACCTCCTCGGAACCTTAAGTTTATCATCTAATAGAAGAATTTTGTCAATTCACCAAAATGATGTTAGAAACCCTGCTGGGTGTTTTTCATCATTCCTTGGTTCCATTAGTTTTAGCTGTAAAGTTAAAATCAATATGCTGACGTTCTACACAGATGCCGGAGAAGAAGTGCAATTTATCAGTAATACCATGCTAAATGTTTTGGGAGTGATTTTGGAAAACGAATGAAAATGCAGTTATTGAATTTTTAAACCCTTTAAAGTGGAGCATGCTGGAATTCCTTTTTCTTTTTTGTTTGTGTTTTCTATTTTTTTTTTTTTTTCATTGTGAGTGAGTGGGGCAGTTTGTGTGTTTATCAGATTAAATAATAATAATAATAATAATAATAATAATAATAATAATAATATATTTTTAATAAATTAAATAATATTTGTTCGTGCAAAGATTAGCAATTTGTGTGTTTCAATATTCGGTATTATTACTTAATTTTTTATTTTTCCTAGAATTTCTGGCAGTGTACGTTGCGGTAGCAATCGCTAGTTTCCAAACCTAAATATCTTAACTGATCCTGTAGAAAGTGTTCTGACCAGGTCCGTGCATTATTTATACAATCAATAATCTTGTTCCACACTGTCATCTAATGGACGAGCGCATCACAACTGCAATTACAGCACCCCCTATCGAGAAGGGGAGGTAATTACGTTTGTTAATCATGACTTCCATGTGCTGAATTTTAAAGCATTAATTCAGCACTGCCCTGATTATATCATTACGGTGCAAGAATGACATTGATCGAATCACAAATATGGATGGAAATGAGTCCTCTTATCCTACTTCCGGTCTTTACAAACTCACGAACAGTCTTGTTTTTATCTCAATGTGTAGGATACTACGTAAGGATACGTATAACTTTTGTGCTGAGAGTCATTTTAGACATTTTGTTCTTCACCTACTTATGTATTTGTTGTGTATTTAAACGTCATTTTTATACATATATATATTTAGCTGTCAACACATCAATATCCATAGACGTAATGCTTACATTGCATCAACAACGCCTGGAATTTTTAAATTAAATTTTATTTACTTATTATTATTATTACTTATTTATTTATTTATTCGAGAAAAAATAAGGAGAAAAGACTACAACCGAGTGGGAGCAAATGCAGCTTTTTTTTGGCCTATATTTTATTAAAGGGAACTATCTCCGACTAGTGGACAGTAGCTGCATTCCAAGCGGAAGAAAAGAAAGGAACTCTATCAGGAACGATAAAATGGGAGAATTACGACGATAAATAACACGTTATTACGACGGAGCAGTAGGGTTAAAATGAAAAAAAAATCAAATTCAATTAGGCGACTAAAGTCGAAACGCTACGCCAAACTAGTAAACTATAACTTATTATAACTTTAGTTATGTTATTTGTGAAGTTATACAAAGGTATGATTCAACCAGATTCTCCTCGTTTCTCGTTGTGACGCAGTATACTTTTCTTTTGTTTCCCTCAAAACACTTCATCTACACCGGGGGTCCGTGAGAAAATGTACTTCCGTTTTACTAATTGACTTCACTCAAAAAGAATCCAGTCATATCCCTTTCCTTTTTTCATTAAAAATCATCTGGTAACGTTTCGAAACAACAGGTCATTCCCGAGTCCGATGCTAACAGTATAAAGTCTTTTATTTTGAAAATGTACGGCAAGTTGATACCGGCCGACCGGTCCTTGGTACAAACAAGTTTGGGGACTGCCGATTTAAACTTTTTTTTTAAAATTACGACTTTTTTTACTCATATAGGTTTTGAATTTATTCTCATAAATTTACAACGTATATTTTGTAATTTTATTTATTCTCTGTGAACCCTGACAATTATGTTGAAAATCATGTAGCAACAAAACAAAAGCTGTTTAAGAGAAAGTGTTTAACCGCTCTACGACCGTACTCTTATTCCAGCTCGAGAATGTTTTAATACAAGTTATGCTCGGGTGTCAGACTGTTTGGTTCAAAAGGTGAAAGACTGATACATAAAAGTACAGAAGAATAGGGTGAAATAAGTCAGTTGATAAGAAGAAAAAGCAAACGTTATAAGCAAGTTTGTTTTAGATATTTGCTCTTCTGGGGTGGCAGGTATTCCAGGTACAGGTATTGCACCTGTCACTGGACAATGGTTTACATTCTCGCCAAACTTTTCCAAATGATATAATTTGGAGGACAACATAATCTGTCTGGCCAGCTTTGTTGACTCTGTAAGATTCTATGATTCTTGTGACCGAAAGCAGATATGAACCGAACGTTGAAATATTTATTTTAACACGAATCGTTATTCCGAGTCACTCGACAATCACCATTGCTCCGCAGAAAAATGTGACATAGTTTAACGATCTTATTCACACATTTGATTGAGTTGCGTTAACAGTTGGAACAATGCAGCCTTTCAGCCTTTGTGGCTGGTGTTCGTGACCCTTGCGTAACTGTGGTCACCATTTTAATTGAACGTTACTTGAAAATCTCATTAGATCACATAAGGGGGAAAAAAGTGTCTTTTAAAACATAAGATAATTAAACATGTATGCATTTGTTTTTTAAAAATCATCATTGGTTTGTATAAAGGTGGAATAAAGACATGCAAATTTCTACTTAAGCATTCACACATTTTCATCATAAGGGTATCCTTTCAACACCCCCTGGTAAATGTCAGCATCTCGTCCACCCTAAGGGGGGAAAAAAAAAGTTTTTTTTACTGAGAGTAAGTGATGTCATGTCTGGAACACGAAACAGTTCAACTGGCTTCAGTTTATACCTCTTTTTTCTTCTTCTGACTGGTTAAAGCCTTTGCGGTAAGAACAGCAAGGCTGACGCAGACGCACAAGTAAAAGACACACAGGACAACCATAATGAAGTCCATACTTGTCGTCAAACTCTGAAAAACAGGAAAACAGGAAAAGAAAAATGTATTATTAAAATAATTTTTTTTTCATTATAAATAATTGTTAAATATTGTTGGGGGACATAAAGGAGGTTTACCGTAAATTCCTATTCCCTACATAATATAGACATCATCTTTGCAGAATATGAATGAAAACTGTCATACCAAGTATGCAAAAAAAAATTAACCGAAAGAGAGAATTAAAAATTAAAAATTAGCCAAAAAATAATTAAGCATTGATGCAGTAATTAGAATTATATTTGAGGAGATACGACTAAAAAAAATAGATCAAAGTTCACGAAATACATTTTACGCCAGGG